AAGCAACAGTCCCTCCTATGGGGACTGCTGCCCCTCCAAACCCACCCTAAAGCACAAAGAATTCACATATGTATGGCAAGACAGAGCATCGGACAGATTCGGTATCAGATTCTCCTGCATGTTGGTGTATACTTTACCCTGCCTTTTATATGTGGAAGATTCGGTTAATTTTCCAAAAATGACAACTGGGTCTTCCCTGACAATGTTTATATCATCAAATTTGTTCTCGTGTGATGAGAACGAATCTGATGATATTCTCCGTCGGATTCTCCAGCCGACAATCTTGATGTGTTTTCATAAGTCCCGATAGCAGGGGAGGGCATGAAGTAGATCAGGGAAATTACGGGGTAAAACAGGCTGAAATAAGCAAAATAGAGAGCAGAAATGTGTAAAACAAGCACGAAAAACGCTTAAAATCGGATCATGAAACTCTACGGACATCGCCGCCATCTTTCAAAGTCTACGGGCCGACGCGCCAAATTTCAAAAAACTCTACGGGAACCAAACCCACCGTTCGGTAAAAATCTACGGGATTTCACATAATCCAGATCCCCTGTGGTAATCGTACAATGCATCCTAACCTAACAAACCAACCTAACCTAACCTAACCTAACCTAACCTAACCTAACCTAACCTTACCTTACCTTACCTTACCTTACCTTACCTTACCTTACCTTACCTAACCTAACCTAACCTAACCTAACCTAACCTAACCCTGTGGGATTTATACACTACGATCTATACATTCCCTAGCCAGGGGGCTCTGCCCCCTGGACCCCCATGGTATTAAATGCGCCTAGCCAGGGGGCTACGCCCCCTGGACCCCCGTAGTAATATACCACATACCTTTATAAAACGAAAAACCGAACTATTGTGTGCTTCCGTCCATGGTCAGAATTGCTTGGTTTCTAATCACTTTTTTTGGCATTTGGGGCACTTGTTGGGCTCAAATATCAGGCTTGTGATTGAGAATAATGTCTATTTGTCCTGTATATCCACAATATAGTTTTAAAAATAACCCGATGTCGACACAGCACTTGAAATGAAACATTTTTCACCGGTGTTTCTGAGCGAATGGCGGTGGGTCGACCTGTCAAATCTCCCGGTGAAAACGCGCATGCGCAAAAGGTTATTGTACAGAATAACGTAAAAAATTACCAAAAGACGCAAGAGAAGTATATTAAAACTAGAAGAATGCATTACATACATGAATTCAGAGAATCAGACGCTAGTAATGACAAAATAAGCGTTTTCACAAGCGCGTAGCAATACATGGACTACTTGCTGGATCGCAGTAATGAGTTACGCGTCACAATTGTTTTGATCTCGCAAGGTAAACATGGAAGGGGACTTAGAAAATGAAGGGTCGAGTTTCTCTCTTCTCTGTCCTATATCTCCCTTATTTTAGATTTGCGCAGTTTTTGCCATAGATGAAAAGTGTCTTAGTTTTCGTCAAGGTATCCATTCCATACACTTATTTTACTGTACGATTGGTTGACATGCGCGGAAAATTTTCCGAAGATTCTTGGTCTTCCATTGTGGGGGTTGGAAGGCAGTAGCACACTGGGTATTTATTACTCCCCAGAAATTAAGTCCCAAAACCATGGTTCATACAAACCAAAAAAACCTAACCCTAACCTTTCCTACCTTCTATTTATTCCCTATACAGGAGGAAGCTCCTCATGTACACCAATTTAGTAGCACTTCATTCCAACTCACAGAAAATGTGACTAAGAATTCTGGCTGTATATGGGTGTTGTGGACTTGCAGAAAATATTAGGCCAAAGCAACTGTATCGGTGTTGTTTAATATAAGATCACAGTGTCCATATTCATCTATCTCTGCACATGCCTCTCTGTAACATTACCCACCCCCTGCATTAGACATTATAGTGACTGATTCTGTGTAAGTTATTCTTATTTTACCCAGCAATTTCCCTGGCACCTTTCATTCCCTCCCCACCTGTTGGGGACATAATTGTCACTAATGGAGGGTTCTTGTGGCATAATTTCAGGTTCAGGTTACCAAGAGTGACACAGAGGTATATGGACAATGCCATCTTATAGAGCATAGGAAATAGAATCATTTAAACAACATAGATACAGCTACTATAGCCTCATATTTACCACAAAATAATGTAAATACCAGCTACATATCACCAATACCTGACTAAGTCCACTACTTTCTGACACAGCCAGACTTCCTTCTGTCCGTTTCCTAAGAGTTGGTACAAAGTGCTAATAAAGGAGGGGCTGGGGGGTTGCACACCTGTCTAGGGAATAAACAGGAGGTAGGAATGGCTACGATTGGATTTTTGGCTTCGTAAAATGCCCAAATCTGGCTCTGGGAATCTGGAGTGTGTGTCGCTCTCGGTAACAAATAACTAATTTCGATATATTTGGGTAATAGAGTGAAAGGAACCCATTGATATTAAAATCGTCTCAATCGGTTATGGGAAGGCGTTTACAACACTCGCCGGTTGTAAATTGCTAGTATTAGTAAAACAAAACTTAAAATTGTTAACCAGGATTTGTCAAATAGTTGTTAGATAATGTTGTGTTTTTCTCTACCAATAAAATATTCCCATATAATCAGATATATACAAATCGCCATGAAGTTCAAAACATCTGAAAACATTTCCACACGTTTCAAATCTCACTTTTAACCCTAATAACACAAGACAGCGATGCTCGTTGACAACACCATACGTCACAAACTAACAACAATGCATAAAAATACGTATCTTTACCTTTTTATTCTATCTACACTTAAATATTTTCGTGCAAAACCGACCGCCTTGAAAACGCTGGTCTTCTTCCCCAAAGGCCGTGCTGTCACTGAATTCGGAAACTTTCAACTTCTTCCCTTATTCTAACCTGCTCTTGATTATTGACCAATGAAAAACGAGATACTTGGTAATCTCAACCAATCAGCAAAGGCCTTACGAGTTTCCAAAGGGATCCAGCGGCATACGTTGGTCACTTCTGATTGGCTGGTGATGTAAACAATAAACAAATGACGAGCGGCATCCGTGTCTTTTTTTGCGCGGGAAATTTTAAATACGCAAAAAGTTGAATTGATATATAAATATTCGTAAACACCACATACTATATGTGTGGTATTTTATATTTAGAAAACATATAACAGTAGTAATACTGAAAACAGCAATGATATAAGTGCATAACATTCTGATTATAATTAAGATAGTACTAAAGGGAATGTTAAACGTATCAGTGAAGATGATGATGATAATGAGAATAATAATGATTTGGAGGATAAAAAATATAATAGCAATAGTGATAAAAATAATAATGATTAATGATAATGATAATAATCATAATGATAGTAACAATGATAATGATAATAATAACAACAACAACAACAACAACAACAACAACAACAACAACAACAACAGTAATAATAATAATAATAATAATAATAATAATAATAATAATAATAATATAATATAATATGATAATATGATAATGATAATGATGATAATAATGAGAATGATAATACTACTACTAATAAAATTAATAATAATAACAATAATAATAATAATAATAATAATTGTAATAATAATATTAATAATAATAATAATAATAATAATAATAATAATAATAATAATAATAATAATAATAATAATAATAATATTAATATTAATATTAACAATAATGATAATAATAATAAAAATAATAATGATAAGTGATTATAAAAAATAATAGTGACAATGATAATAATAATGATAATAATGATATAATAGTAATAATGATAACATTGATAATAATAATAATGATAATAATAAAGGTGATGGTAATGATAATAATAGTAACAAGGATAACACTGATAATGATAACAACAACCGCAAAGATTATCATTATTATTAATACTATTACTATTATTGTTGTTCTTCTGATTAATACCATCATAATGTTAATAATAGTGATAACAGTAATCATAACAATACCAGTAATGGTAATGATGATGATAATAATAATAATAATAATAATAATAATAATAATAATAATAATTATAATAATAATAATAATAAAATAATAGCAATAAGAATAAGAATAAGAATGATAAGAATGATAATGACAATGATGGTGATGATGAGGAAGAGGAGGCTAATAACAATAATGATAATAAGGTAGATAATAACAGTGATGATAATAATGATGATGATAAGAAATAATAATAAAAAAATATTTGTAGTAATAATGGCAATAATATTAATAACAATAATAATAATAATAATAATAATAATAATAATAATAATAATAATAATAATGATAATAATAATAATAATAATAATAATGATATAGATAATAATAAGTATCATAATAAAGATTATTCTAATAATGATAATAATGAATAAGGAGACAGAGAACATTGATAATAATAAAAATAGTAATTATAATAATAATAATAACAATAATGATGTTAACAATAATAATCATGACAATAATAATAATAACAATAACAATAATAATAATGATAATAATAATAATAATAATAACAATAATTAATAATAATAATAATAATAAGAAGAAGAAGAAGAAGAAGATGATGATGAAGAATAGTAATAATAATAATAATGATAATGATAATAATAATAATAATAATAATAATAATAATAATAATAATAATAATAATAATAATAATAATAATAATAATAATAATAATAATGCATGATGATAATGATAATGATAATGATAATAATAATGATAGTGATACTAATGATAATAATGATAATGATAATGATAATAATAATGATAGTGATACTAATGATAATAAGAGTAATAATAATGATAATGACTATAATAATAATAACAATAATGATAATAATCATCATATTACCATCACCACCATACTGATTATATGTATACACACACACACAAATACATATACACATCAATACATACATACACTCATATATGTATGTATACACAAAATCATCCAACTACAAACTCGACTCCAATTCACTTGCGAACGCGCTCTTGTTTATTCCTGTTCCCACTTGTTCGTGTCACCCGCGGCCGGAGTCAGCTGATCAGTCTCGAAAGAAGTGCTTCAGAGGCAACACTTTAGGAAATGGATGACATAAAAGACGTCACTGTGGAGCCCCTGACTTCGTCGCAGTTTGTGAAGCCTTATCGAATGCATTACAAACAAGTGAGATAAAGAGATTCGTTCTCGTTCATACCTTTTCTACATTAGTTGACATGAATACGGTTCGTATATATATATATATATATATCCATGTATATTTATGTATATATATTATTTTGTGTGTATATATCATTTATTTATATATGTATGTATGTATTTATATATGTATAATATATATATATATATATATATATATATATATATATATATATATATATATATATATATATATATATATATATATATATATATATATATATATTATATATATATATATATTATATATATATATATATATATATATATATATATATATATATATATATATATATATATATATATATATATATATATATATATATATATATATATATATATATATATATATATATATATGTATATTACATATACTTATGTGTGTATATATACATATTATATATATATATATTTTTTTTTATATATATACATATATTTATATATACATATATATATACATATATATATACATATATATATACATATATATATACATATATATATATATATATATATATATATATATATATATATATATATATATATATATTTATGTATATCTATATATTTGTCTCACACACACACACACACACACACACACACACACACACACACACACACACACACACACACACACACACACACACACACACACACACACACACACACACACACACACACACACACACACACAGATATATGCATATGTGTGTGTGTGCATGCCAAATGTTCTCTTGCTTATGGTTAAAGAACTTTATTTGTATTTCTCTCTTCTTAATAATATTGCAGAGTTCTGTTGACTCCTCCTTTGTGTTTTGCAAATTTTAGAAATGTCTTCTTTGTTTTTTTCAGAATAATGTGGAGAAAATCTGGGATCTAGTCAGTCTCCATGAGAGTGTCTCCATTATTATCTTCAACACAGATAGAAAGAAACTTGTTCTTGTAAAGCAGTTCAGACCAGGTAAGAGGGAAGAAAATTATTTTATTTAAGAAAGTTTCCTGAGCCTATACAAATGTGTTTAATTAGAGTTCACTGTTATAGGAGAGTTCTACAGTATTTATAATTTTATTGCATTGATAATATGTTCATATTAATACTTATTATTTGTTGGGATTTTGTGGTTTTGCAGTAGGGGAAAGAATATACAGCATGCATACATCAGTAATATTACAACAGTGAGATAAACACTCTCTTCAGCTACTTTTAGGGCTAGATTATCAGCCATAGGGCCCCTTAAAATTTATATATCTTTATGTCTTGTTTCTGTCTACTATATTATTATTACATTTTTTTCATGCAGTGTCTGCAATATATTCATTTTTAAGTTTTGGGATCTCTGTGTGAAAGTCTTTGATTTGGTGTAGATATACAAACACCTTTACAAAATTTTACAAAATTGTTTGATTTCCCCCTTTTTTTATTCCTCAGCAGTTGTGAAAGTGCTATCACTAATTTCTACAAAGGGATATGGATCCGTGTGTAATATTAATGGCACATTAAACTCTTATTCCACAAGTTTATTTTCTCTAAAAGGAATCTGAAGAGTTTGAATTGCAGAGCAGAGTCCTCTTCTCAAACATTTGGCATAAACTAAAAGTATAGTTGATTTAGGAATCAACAGGAGGGATCCATATTGCAGCACTATGCTATTCTATATTACATTTCATTTGATATACTTAACCCATTCGCGCCGGGTAAAAATGAACAAAAAATGGGGAAAATGCTGTGCTCATTTTTTATATTTTTTAATGAACCTGATTTCATTTGGCGGGAAAATGTATTTTTACTAGTGCTATGAATATCGATGGCTATTTTCATTATAAACATTATAATTACTATAATGTTATAAACATTAGTAACAGCAAAATAAGAACGCAAAATAATTTCGTAAATTAAAGAAAAGGGTAAACAGACAAGACAGGCAGTACAAGTGCAAGTGGAGCCATCTATGTTTGTAAACAATTAAACAAGTAAACTGGCTGTGTGTGGCTGCCCGTCATGTATACGGGACGCCCGGTGTGAATGGGTTAATAACAGTTACTATATCCTTCAACAGCTGTGTATTATGGTGGAATACCGAGGGAGGAGCGGAAACTGGGGAGCACAGACACGTCCAAATACCCAGGCTCAGCAGGACTGACCATAGAGCTCTGTGCGGGTATTGTTGATAAGACTAAAGATTTAGCACAGACTGCAAAGGAAGAAGTGTTGGAAGAGTGTGGATATGAGGCACCGCTGGAAAGCTTTGAGAAAGTGTTGAAATACAGGTGTGTTTTTAGTATAGTGTCAAGTGCTGTATTTTATTCCCCATTCTGGGTATTGGATTTATGAAATATTCAAAAAAAAATTATCATTACATTTTCATGTACAAAACATTTATTAATAATGATGAATTGATACACTTGACTTCAAAAAATCACCGAGTTTGTTTTGTCTTTAACATTTATTATATAAATTTCATCTAATTTTCACTACTTATTGGACTCAGATCTGGCGTGGGAGTATCAGGTGATCAGCAGACAGTGTTCTATGTGGAAGTAACAGACAAGATGAAAGTATCACAAGGTGAGTCTTCATGAAAGGAGCTCTGTGTGTTAGAGACACAGTTTTTCACTAAAACTATTTATTGGAATTATTTTCTTTGTCTTTGTTGTAACTTCACATACTTAAGTGCTGATTTTTATCATTGAATTTATTATAGAATAAATATTTAGGTAAATGTTCCTGGTGAATTGAATTTTGTTGTTTATACAACTGGATGAATGTACTAGATATCTTAGAATATTATAAGCCCTATAAGGAATTAGGAAAGATTTTTTAATTTTTCTTGTTATGTGTAATCTGTTTTGCATTTCATAAGATTATATGCTAAATATTATCATTTGCCTTGATAGTAGAGTCTAGTGGTTTGAAATACTGTTTAAGCTCATGATATTTTGACTACTATAATCTCCCTAGATTTGCTCTGAACTGACTAACTTGAGGGTGATAGTAATGCAAGAGAGAAAAAAATATATAAATAAAGTCCCCTAGAAATGCTAAAAAAAATGTAGTTTTTATGCCAAAAAAGTTTACATAATTACAGCCTAACTGCAGCTGTATTTTTTATCACAGGAGGAGGATTAGCAGATGAAGGAGAAATGATAGAAGTTGTGGAAATGTCCATACCGGAAGTCCAACAGTACCTGAGTCAGCCTGAAGTGAACTCTCCTGGGGGCCTTCTCTTCGGACTTATGTGGTTCTTGAATAACAAGGCCCCAAAAGAGTAGCTTTTATTAGACGGGCCATAACCTAGATTATCAGGAGTGCTTTTTCTTATTCTTATTCTTTTTCCTTTCTTTTATACCACCTTGAGTCCTGAAGATTCTGCAAATGTTTTGAGGGTACAAGTTTTAGCACCTTTTTTTTTTATTTCTTAGAGATACAGTATTATGTTTTCTGTATTTTAGTATTTACTCCATTTGTGGGAACTATGATGTACATTGCTGTAGAACTAACATGTTACCTGGAGAAATGTGCAAATACAATAACAGCTCAGGAGTTTGGTTTAGCTATCTTATCTCTTAGAGGATGGAACACCACCATTGTTTTCAGAAGTGTGTATGCACTAGATAGAACATGGCAAAAGTCTTAAAAAAAAAGCTTTTAAACTGTACACATTAGAAATATCTGTGCATTAAATTAGATTTTAAAAAATGCACTTTTCCCATCCTGTGTGCACATGAAGCTTTGAACTTTCCTGTTCTTTAGGAGGTAATTTACATTTACATGTATAGTGTTTCACAGGTTAAAGTTAGACTTTGTAAGACCACAGTTTTGGTTCCTTATAAGTAACTCTTATTTTGTTTCCATATTTTAAAAGTCAATCACGATGATAATATGATATTCCATGCATGAAGATGAATTTTGAAAAAGGCTTTTAAAATCTTTTATAAAAGGAACCAGAGTATATGGTTTAAACTTTTATTTTTTATGTTAGAGAGTACAAATTTTCTCAGTTTTATTGCCTGTATATAACAGGTACAGTGAATAAATGTATGCAGTGATATATTCAGTAATGTTGAAATGGGTGCCAGTAGTACCTCTACAGCTGCAAATGCTGTCCTCTTAATGAAATTCACATTGAAATGTCAATGTTAATGATAGCAAATGTCATAAAACAAAATAGACCTCTCTTAGGAAAGAATTCATCATTGTACATCCATTCACTAAAGATTCACTTGATAAAAATAATCTCTTGTGTTAAAAAAATTTATATAGTAGTACCAAAATTGATTTTTTTTGTTTCATTTTATCCTAATTTTTTTCTGGACTAATTTCTCTATAAAGTACTGTACTTTTCTTATAGAAAGATTTCAGATGTATGAAAAATCGCATGGAACAAACCAGATATTTTCACAATGTCCTGGGTTTCATTTATGTTGCTTAGTGCAAAAGTTAACAGGAAAATACTCCAGAAGTAAATAAGCTCTTTGTCAGGAACGGAGTATAGAAACTACTTTCTGAAATTTGCCTGCAGTATTCCTTTATAATCCATCTTTAATCTTCAGACTATAAAATGCTAATTAATAATCCACTGTGCTCTTTAAACTATGCAAATCCTGTTCCAGTCTGCATTTTTTTCAAAATATATGGAACTCTTTTGCCTTGTAAGTCTTTAATATTTCCTCCATAATTCTAAAATATGAAGCTTAAATATTGACATTCTTAGTTTATTGCTTTTCTTATTGTTTATGCCTTGATGTCTGGCACTCATTATTGTTTAATTCATTTGAATGTTAGTGTAAGGTGTCACTTCTACCACATAGTGCTTGGCTGCCATATTGACTGCAGCATGCTAGGTAATAGATAGATGTGATGGTTAATCCTGTCAACACTGGCAAAGTGATATTTTCTGTTGTATACAATTGTATTGACGGAAAAATGCTTCCAGGCATTGTGAAATTTTCAGTTGCTACATCTCACTGCTTGGTCATGGTGACAGGAACACTCAGCAGTCAGTGAACTGTAGAATGTTTACTTCTTGGTATGGCATTTTTATGCTACTTGATGCCACCCACAATTACCAGGGTCCTTGAACAGTTCTTCATTGCTTACATAATCCATCTTGGTCTGTGTCCATTAATGCAGTTGCTTCCTGGTGTAGTGCCTGATTTTAACACTGATCAGCATCAATGGTACCACTACCACCATCAAAGTGCCCATCAGTGGTTATGTGCTTTCTTTGTCGTCTGGCCCATCTCCTTTTGCACTTGCTAGAAAACTGCCATCTGCTGTCTTGCCATCCACAACTTTTCTACCTCATTTGCCTGATCTTTGAGCAGCTCATTCAGTGACTGTAGCCTGCTATTGCAACAGCATCAGTTCACCATCTTTGCATCACTTGAAGGGCAATAAAGTTCATTTGTAAGTGCTGAACCACCATGCATTATTTTGCAGTTCAAAAAAAACATACTCCAGTTTTAGTTGTCTATGATTTAGATAGTTTGGTTAATCATAAAAAAGAAGCTTACTTACCTTCTATATATGACAACTGTGAGTCATCCTTGTAATGAGAAGCAATAACAGATGTGTGCAAAAGTTACAGGACTACATTTACATTTTCTTAATGTACTTACAGCTGTTCCTGCTGTTTAATTTAAAGAAAATCCAGTTGATATTTTTGGCCGAAAGTTTTAATGGTTGGGCCAAAGCTACTTAAACACATTATATTTACAGATTCATGTTACACAGCTCTCTTTAGCCACAATAAAGAAACCACAAGTTAGTAAAATACTTGAAAATATACAAATATGCAATTAGGGTCTATGAGTGTAGATAGTGATGTACAAAATTTAGCTTATGTTGAATCTAATTGGCTTTATTTGAATGCTTACTCTTGTTCATTTGTGTGTCATTTACTTCACATTTCTAAAGAATCAGAATACTCCTCTGTGGTATTTATAGATGGTAATTTCATGTACTTTATGTTTTAGTTGTTTTTTATTACTTTGTATGAGCGGTTATCAGTATTTTCATTTTGTTTGTGAGAACTTATTTATATAGTTTCATGTACTTAAAAGTATAGGTTATATTTTTATTTCATTTTATTTCCATCTTAGATTTTAATACTACACTGATACAATATTACTGTAGTATTTATTTGTGTATTATGTATTTATTTGTTTTAGATCTTGGAAACAACAGATTTCAGTATTAATCTGTTGTAGAACATTCCTATCAGATTATGCTACAATCAGGTTTTATTTATTTTTAATTTCATACCATTTTGCAAATATCACAGCATTTATGGAATCTTAATTTTGTATTTGATTAGAAGGTGCTTAAAAAATCATGTAGGAACAGCTTTTCAAAAAAAGTAGTGTGTAGATGCAAAATATGCACAGGAAAAAATCACTACTATATAACAGCTTGATGCACAAGATTTATTTTTTACTATTTGTATTGCATACTATATGTTATAATAGAAATGAAGTTTTTTGGAAGCAGACACTGTTTTATTATTCCTAGTCAGTACCCTAATGATGTAACACTGATTCTCATACAAGGACCAAAGCCAAGACCGGTTTCAAGCAAGTACAAAGCAGACAAAGACTTAATGGATACAGTATGAATACTTATTGAACTCCCTTTTGGTAAGAGAATGGGACAAGATGTTTAAGATCACTGAAAATACCATTTACTATATCCTCAGTTCTGATAATTGATAGTGGAATCATTACAGACAACAGTTATTACAAATGAACTACCAACATTCATGGCAGAGATCTGTACAGCACTCACGTCTCCTAGTTTTCTACATTCCAAGCAAAACAGAAGCAACGCTCACTGTCATTCTGAGTTGGTCCTCTGCATTCCTTCCATATAAATTGCTAACACAGGCAGATGGATTTTGGCCCCCAGTACTGCTAAGTGGCTGCTCCAGGAGCCGACGAGATTCCACTTCCAGCATTACATCACTTACTAAAATTACTTTGGCCATTTACGCTTGGGTCTTTATATAGGGCACAGTGACAGTTGCAGAGGGAGGCTATCGTCATCCTCATCTCGAAAATGATTAAGAATGCAACCGTACCAGAAATCTCCAGATAAGTGAAAACATACGGCCTGGTAAATCCGGTTGTGTATCAGGCATAATACAACGGTTTCTAGTTTTCGTCAAATAAAACTGATTATATAGTTATGCAAGAAAAAAGTAACTTTTCATCCACTATTCTTCTCAGGGACAGGCCAGTTGCGGTTTGCTTTGACACATATAACTAGAGCTGTATCCAAAAAAAATCCATTTCTATATATTCGATCCCATTTGCATTGGAGAGCAAATCGCTCAGTATATTTTCAATTTTCAAATTTTTGTTTCTTATCCCCATATATATGTGTGTGTGTGTGTGTGTGTGTGTGTGTGTGTGTGTGTGTGTGTGTGTGTGTGTGTGTGTGTGTGTGTGTGTGTGTGTGTGTGGGTGTGGGTGTGGGTGTGGGTGTGTGCGTGTGTGCGTGTGTGCGTGTGTGCGTGCGTGCGTGCGTGCGCGGGTGTACTAGTGCTTACAGGATCTCAGGAGTCAATCCACTGAAAAAGATTGCAATTCTCGTAGCGCACTGCAGTCGAGAGGGACGTTAGAATACTAACATCGTATGAGGGAATAATTCCATTTCGGATAATTGCCCATGTTGGTGCCCATAGGTAAGAACAAACTGATCTGAGGACCAGGCAGATGTTGCTCAGCCCTCTCTCCCTCACGTTGACATGACATCATTTGTCAATGACATCTGCAGTTGGGAGACCGGGAGGGAAACGATCATTGCAATGCAGAGCGGTAGCTGTGTTGCCTCAGGTACGCTCTTTCAGCCCACGGCCAAGTTAGAACTGAGGCACAAGTTAATACGAACAGTGAATGAGTAATTTTACCCAAGGAAAGCTAACTTTCCCTTGACATTTTTTTTCTCTCAAATTTGTATCTTCTACGTTGCTTCGAAATTTCTCATTGCTGTGATAACAGCTGAATCCTCTCTTTTGACATTTTCTTCCACAAACATTATCGGTAGTTAATTTTCGTGCGTGTGGATGGGGGGACCTTGATTCTCTTCTCGTCCCCTTGAGAGCTTAAACCAAGGTCTAGAGAAATACTTCCCTAGGCCTTGGTGTAAACAACGCATGAGCCTGGTAAAAATGTTTCTTAAGTTCATATCAGGCACGCTATACAAACAGCTAAATTAAGGGTTTGTTTGTAGTCGATAAATAGTAAAGAAAAAAATCAATACTAGCTCAGTATGTGGCTGAAGGTAAATTAACTATGAAAAGCCTAACGGAGATTCAGTTCAATCTTTAGGATCCCTGGAGGCTCGTAATCCATGCCTTTGGTGTTTTCTGAAGGACCCTTTACCAGTGCGTGGCCACCCGACGACCATCGACTCTCTTTCACTCATTTACTCTCGCAAATACATATGTACTGACAGATAGACATATATATGTGTGTATATGTATATATGTGTGTGTGTGTGTGTGTGTGTGTGTGTGTGTGTGTGTGTGTGTGTGTGTGTGTGTGTGTGTGTGTGTGTGTGTGTGTGTGTGTGTGTGTGTGTGTATCTATATCGATATATATATAGAAAGATATATACACATTAATGTGTGCACACACGCGCGCGCGCGCGCGCATACACACATAAACCGATTATTATTATTATTGTTGTTGTTTGTTATTTTATCATTATCATTATTATTATTATTATTATTATTATTATTATTATCATTATCACTATTATTATCATTATTATTTACTCACAAACACACACATATAGAGTGATAGATAGATAGATAGATATTATGCTTATTGTTTACAGTAATTTAATAGGATTACCCTAAATTGGTTAGCGTTGCATCGAAAATCTAGGTTTTTTTTATTCTTATGGTGAAAATAAGTTACGTTATTGTACCACCACAGAATGTAATCCAGAGCGAATGTAGAACGAAAAGAGTTTTCATTTTGAAAGTGATTTTAAACCCGATAAACTTGTTCTAAAAATATATATAGATAATTATTTATTAGCCT